CTTGAGGGACAAAATGAACAGTAGCAACAAAGCATTTCTATCCCGGTTCCCCTGTTTTGGGAATTAAGATGACGTGAATGAGTCCCTGTATATGGTTCTGCCGAGGCATTCTTGGGCTTCTCGCCCACGAAACTGATTTTGGCTCTGAAGGTTGCACTTAGCAGTCACCTGACCTCCTCTGGGCAAACATGTTGGGTCTGGGGAAATCCTCCTAGGACCTTGAGCCGTCTCCAGAAGTTATTCAGAAGTGGGTGGAAAACCTCTCAAGTCTTGCTGCCTTGGCTTTAAAGAGAAGCTGCGGAGAGCAGTGCAATTCTCTGTTGGCTAGAGGCAGGAGTAATAATATCTCCCACACACCTAGCTGAAACCTCCTCCTCTCTCCAGCCAGCTGTTCAGAAAGGGAGTTGAGTCTAAAATTCCACAAAGGCTGGAAGCTAAGTCTCCTGGACCAGCAGGGAGGTGACCTGCTGTGGCTTTCCCAGCCCTGTTGTCTTGGGTATAATCCCCTTTGTCTCTCTGCTATTCCATCTCTCCTTCCACAGCATGAGCCTGGGAGTATGGCCCTAGGAAATAATTTTTGCAACTGAATTAGCAGAATTTTTCACTCCTTTTCTGCTCTGACACCCCTTCCTTCAGAAGCCCCCAGGAGGGGCTGGAGCTACCACAGCAGGTAGGGCATTTGCCTTGCACACGACCGACCCAGGTTCGATTCCCAGCATCCCATATGGTCCCCCGAGCTCCGCCAGGAGAGTAATTCCTGAGTGCACGAACCAGGAGTAATCCCTGTGCATTGCCAAGTGTGACCCAAAAAGCAAAAAAAAAAAAAAAAAAAAAAAAAACCCAGGAAGCAGGGATCTAGGACCAGGGAGATGTGCTAACGGTGGATTTTACTGCTAGGGTCACACCCAGGGGTATGCTTATGTAGGAGGTCCACCAGTGTGCAGCTCCTAGGAGCCCACAGATTCTATTTGGGGGGAGTGGTGGTGGTCCACACCTGGTGATGCGAAGGGGTTACTCCTGGCTCTGGACTCAAGAATTAGTCTTGGCGGTGCTTGGGGGACCATCTATGGGATGCTGGGATAGACCCAGATCGACTCTATGCAAGATGAACACCCTACTCGCAGTACTATCACTCTGGCCCCCAGATCCCACAGATTCTAAGATTGCCCTTGGCCCATGAGATTGTTGTGGACATCAGGACAGGAGGACAAGGACTAGAGCGATAATACAGTGAGTAAGGCACACAGCAGATCTGGGTTCAATCCGTAGCACCCAAGATAGTCCCCTGAGCCTGCCAGGCATAATCCCAGAGCCAGGAGTAAGCCCTGAGCACTGTGGGGTGCGACCCCAAAACAAACCCCCCCAAAAAAGATAGGGGACACCAAAACATGGGACACTAAGTGTCCTTAATGTACCACTGAACTATTTTGTTTTGTTTCGTTTTTGAGTTTTCAGTGTCTGGGTCACACCCAGTGTTGCTCAGGGGTCATGTCTGGCTCTGCACTCGGGAATTACTCCTAGTGGTTTTCAGGGGACCCTATGAAGTGCTGGGGATTGAACTGAGGTTGGGTGTGTGCAAGGCAAAGGTCCTACCCACTGTACTATCTCTTGATAACCAGCCACCGAACTCAGTCTGAGGCCTGGGCTTCTGTTTCACCCTGGGCCCTGGGAGAGGGCCCTGGATCACTCTGCCTTGTCTCCCACAGTCTGAGCACTTCAAGACCACATCACAGAAGGTGGCTCGGAAGTTCTGGTGGAAGAACGTGAAGATGATCGTCCTTATCTGCGTGATTGTCTTTATCATCGTCCTCTTCATCGTGCTCTTTGCCACTGGTGCCATCCCGACATAGAGAACCTCTCTCACCTCGTTGGGGTGGCTTTCCTTGGGGGTGTCATGAGGGGCCCTCTCTCCTGTCCTTCTCCACAGGGAATGCTGCTCAGTCCTCCTTCCCCTCACTCTGTGGCTCCTCGGCCCCCGAGGGCACTCTGCTCCCCCAGAAGGAGAGAGCTGGACTGTGGCTATTTCATGGGTCCTCAGAATTGGATGGAGAAAGTAACTGGGACCAGCGTGTTGCAGATAAACTGTTAGTGGCTGGTGGGAAATAAAGACCTTTCACTGTCCCTTTGTGTGTCAGGTACTCTCTCTTTCCTTTCCCCGCTTCACACTTCTTTCAATAAAGATTTCTCGTTGTCAGCAAAAATGTATTTTCTGGGACTGGAGCAATAGTACAGCGGATAGGGTGTTTTCCTTGCATATGGCCAACTCAGGTTGGAGTCCCAGCATCCCATATGGTTCCCCAAGCATTGCCAGGAGTAATTCCTGAATGCAAAGCCAGGAGTTACCCCTGTGCATCGCCGGGTGTGACCCAAAAAGCAAAAAAAAAAAAAAAAAAAAGCTGGAGTGATAGCACAGCGGGTAGGGCGTTTGCCTTGCATGCGGCCGACCTGGGTTCGATTCCCAGCATCCCATATGGTCCCCTGAGTACCGCCAGGAGTAATTCCTGAGTGCAGAGCCAGGAGTAACCCCTGTGCATCGCCAGGTATGACCCACAAAGCAAAAAAAAAAAAAAAAGTATTTTTCTGGGCAGGAGAGATAGCATACTAGGTAAGTCACCTGCTTTGCACATGGCCGGTTTAGGGTCAATCCCCCTGACACCACCTACGGTCCCCAACCCTGTCAGGAACAATCCTGGAGCCAGAGCCAAGAGTAAGCCCTGCGAGACAAAAACAAAATAAGTTTTCTGAGGGCCGGAGAGATAGTTCAGGGGTTAAGTCTTATGCCTTGTGTGCCCCTTCTGGGTTCCTGGCACTACATAGTTCCCCTGAGCAATGCCAAGTGCAGCCCTGGAGGGTCCTGCGTACTGCTGGAGTGGCCCAAGTAATCCCCAGCACTTTGAGGCCCGAGCGGTACTGTGTCCTTCACTGCTCTCCTTGAACCACAGCCCAGTGAGCCAGGAATCACCAAACAGGTCCCCTCGGGTATCCTCAACACCACTTGGAAGTTTCCCCCATATTCCAAAGAGTATTTTCTCCCCAGGAACCCCCTCTGGCTAAGGCTCTTACGTTTGATACCCAAGTTAGTGGAGGAGTGGAGAGAATAGAGGAAAAGAATGGAACTTTTCTGTTGATCTGTATCCCTCCTGGTTCCATTCATTGTCACAGATCTCAAGAACAACAATTTCCCCAGGGTCTCGGCATGTGGGAAATCCAGAATTTTTCTATCTGGGGAGGGAAGTGGACACTGGGGAAGGGATCAGTGTTGAAACATTATATGCCTGAAACCCAATCACAAAAAACTCTGTAACTTCATGATGACTAAGTCAAATTTACAAACAAACAACAAAACACCTTTCCAGTACTTTGAACAGAAGTGTTCGCCTTGAGGCTGGATGTGGCAGGTTTCTCTTTGGGGGGGAGGGGCGGTGAAGGGACCACACCCAGCAGTGCTCAGGGTTCACTCTTGACTTTGTGCTCTGCAGAGCATTTGTTGTGCTGGGGATTGAACTGGAGTCTGCTTTATGCAAGGCAAGCACCTGTCTGATCTCTCTGGGGGCTCCTTTTCTTTCTGCTAGAAGTTACCTGAAACTGGAAACCTTGGTGCAGACCATTTAGGGATGTGGTGGGGGGGTGCCTGCCTCTCCATCCTTTCGCTTCTGTGGCCCTGTATCTTCCAGAGCAGGGCTTGGAGGAAGCAGACAGTATCTGTCATGCTTCTGCAGGGAGGGTCCATTGTCCTTCACGTTCCTCTGCCCTTTTGGAAACTTCTAGGATCTCTGGGTCCCCCTTTCCAAAGTGGGTGGCATATCTTTCCTGTGTCCCATGGCTGGACACAGTCATTGTCACCAGACAGGGCTCAGGGCCATCCTTCCCCTCCATGGACAATGGCCCTTCTGTCTCGGAACCGCCTCCCCTCCAAGTTCCATCATCATACTGTGTCACTCTTTCCGGTGCCCAGACGGCCGTGGAAGTGGGGAGGGTTTGCCATCTCTGTCCTTACTGTACCCATTGGTGTTCTAGAAGTGAACATAACCTGTACTGGAGAGGAAGTGAGAAAAGGGGCAGGGCTGGAAGACAGGATTTAGAGACTAGTACTGGCAAGTCAGGTACTAGAATCATGTTTCCAAATCTGCAGAAGGAGGAAGAAGGCCCAGAAAGACCCTGTCATCCTGATTCCTCACTCCACTTCTGGCCGGAAATCTCTTCCCTGAAACCCAGGTGGGGTATACCCTGGAGTCTGTGCTCCCAAGGCTGGCCCCTACTGGGAATCCTCACGTGGGCTGTATTTGAGATGTTGAGGGTGAGGAAGGCTGGGCGTGGGGCAGCTGGCTGGTGGCTTCTCCCAGTTTCAGTCCGAGAAGGCTCTGGTCAACCTTGCCAAGTTTTGACTTTCGTAGTGAAGAGGGAAATTCTGAAAGCTAGAGCGAGCACATTAGGGGAATTCTGAAAGCTAGCACAAGCACATTCTTCATGGAACTTGCATCTGGAAAAAAAAATTGAAGTGAAATTCACAGAATATACAATGTACCAGTTGAGCATCCTGGGTGATGCTCAGGGGCTAAAAAGCCTTGCAAGCAGAGGCCATGAATTTGATGCCCCAGGACTACCACCGTGCTCTGAGGAGCACTGCAGTCAGGTGTTTCAGAGCCCCACAATTAGAGGAGTGTGACCTCCCCTCCCATCGGCAGAATGGGAGCCCCAACGTCCGATCTGTGATCAGAGGTCACGGTCAGCCATTGCAACAACAACATGGGGAAGGAAAGGGGAAATAACAAAACGAACACTGCCAGTGGCAGGTGGTGCATTGCGATGTTTTGCAAGCACCACCTCTCTCATTTCAAAACCTTGGGTGGTTCGGTTTTTGTGTTTTCCCCCTTTGGTTATGCTTGGTAGAGACGAGGCTTGTGAGTGAATGACGGCACCCTAGCTAAACCAGCCCTGGGGAGCAGCTCCGGAGAGGATTTCAGAGCCTCCACCGCATCCATCAGTCCACCGTGCCCAGAGGCTGCCCCTCCCCGAGGCGCGCAGTCCCGGCGCCAGGTGCGCAGGTGTTGGGTCCAGAGAGCGGGGAGTCCTCCGAGGACAGGGGACCCGGCCCAAGAGCAGGCGCCCTACGGACTCTGGTTACAGTCACCGGTCACTTTCGCTTTGTCTTCGCCCAGGTCACCGCACCACCAGGCGCGCCCCCCGCCTCCGCCGGGCCGGCCCCGCCCCTGGCTTCCTCCCGGGTCCCGGGCTCGGCGGGCAGAGGAGCCGCAGCGCGCGGGGCGACGGCAGCCGCGATGGTGAGGGTCGGGGCGTTGCGGGGGGTTGCGGGGGGTTGCGGGGCGGCACGCGGGGCCCGCGCGGGTGCAGGAGGATGCGGCCACGGGGCATCCTCCGCGTGTCCTCCTGGGGAGAGGAGACCCCGCGCGCCGCGCGCCCCGTCGGGGCCGCCCCACCGGGGCTGAGCGCACTCCGGGCGTGCCTGTTCCCCGGAGCGGCGCGGCTGACCCCCGACTGACCGACCCGGCGCTGGACGCTTCACCTCCCCGAGCCTCCTTTTCCGCAGCGGTGAAGTGGGGTCAGAGCCTGCCGCCAGGCTGGATCCTTGCGAGGTGAAGGGAGAGCCCGTGGGACCGGGGCACCGCCCCCAGAAGTGCTGGGTAATAAGGTGACCTCTCAAGTCCTTCTTGGAGCTGCGGGGCGCCCAGCGCCGTCCAGCACTGGGAAACCCGAGCGGCCGGGGAGGCGGGGCGGCCTCGGGCGGGCTGTTGGAGGGCAAACTCCTCGGTAGAAAGAGAAAGATGTGGAGTCGGAAAGTTCCATTGAAGTTCATTGAAGTGTGGCATGGACCTGACTCCCTCTCCTCCTGCCTGGGAACACATTCGGGAGTTGAGTCACTCTCCACTCCCGCTGCCCTGCCCGCCCCGGCTCCAGGGCGAAGGGGACAGACAGAAAGAGCCGGTTTCTGCCCCTGCCCCTGGGACTCCCGGGAGGATGGGTCCAGTAGGAAGCTGAGGTGTGATGGATGGGGCCTGGCAAGGGGTCAGGATGCCTGGATGGCTCCATGTCCAGGGAGCTGGAGGCAGGAAGAGGAAGGGGGGCAGGAAGGTAGCGCTGAGCTGTAAGACCAGGCCAGGAAGCCGAGGGAGGCACCAGGAGCCGCCAGCACGGGCCCACTTCCTCTGGTGCCAGGCATGGGCTCAGCTGCCCCGGGTGGACTGGGTGGGCTGCACTGGGTGGGGGGCTTGGGGGCGGGGAGAAGAAACTCAAGTGAAGGGTGAAGTGTGTGTGGAGCGCAGATTGGGACGCACAGTTCTGTTTAAGGCAAATAGTGCATCAGCTCTGCAGAAAGTATGTATTGGTTCCTCTCCTCATTTACTAGCTCTGTCCCTGTTTCTTCTCCTCCTGCCACTTTCTCTATGCCCAAATCTTCCTTTCCTTCTCTCCACCTAGGTTCCTTCTTCCGTTCCCTTCTCTTATTTAAGTGTTTGCTGCCAGACCCTTCCTTGTTTATTGTTTGTTGCCAGACATTTGTGGGGTAGCTCAGGAACAAAACAATGACTGGAAAGATGGAAGCAATCAGCAAATGGCTTGAATGTATTTATGGTGCAAATGAGAGTTTGTGTTTTGAATTATTCCGCCCCCCACCCTCCCTTCCCCAAATACACACAAGGTGTACGCGGCTTTAGCCAGCTGGGAAAGTGTCTCATGCCTTTCCCTGCATCCACTTTAGCACAGGGGTTAAGAATGTGATCCTGGGGAGTTGATGTTGGTTCAACTCTCAGGCTCTGTGACAAGAGTTAAGTGGCTTAACCCCTCGAAGCCTGGGCTATTGTGATTTTTTTTTTTAAATAAAACTTAAAAACTGCCCTCCATGGATTGTTGTGAGGATTAAATGGAACAGAGTGAGCAAACAGCCAAGTAGCACAGGGCTTATTTCAGAATTATCTCAGAATTCAGCCCCCGTTGAATAGGGGGTTAGTATTCCGCCAAGATGTAGAAGCTGGGGCTGGAGTAATAGCACAGTGGGTAGGGTGTTTGCCTTGCACGCGGCCAACCCGGGTTCGATTTCCAGCATCCCATCTGGTCCCCAAGCACCTCCAGGGGTAATTCCTGAGTGCAGAGCCAGGAGTAACCCCTGTGCATCCCTGGGTATGACCCAAAAAGAAAAAAAAATGTAGAATCTCCTCAACAGCCTGCAGGGTTTGATAGGAACCAACTAGATACCCAATTGGGCAGTTTGCCAAAGGCCCAAATAAAATTCCATACTAAGTTAGGAACAATTAAACACACAATTTTGCAATGAGGAAGAGTTTAGCTTAGTTGGTTGTTTTATTTTTAAAACGTTTATTATTTGAGGGGTGGGTTTGGAGCTACACCTGGCAATGTTCAGGGACTACTCCTGCATGCAAGGCAAGCACTTAACCCCCTGTACTATCTCTCTACCCTTGACTGTGTGTTTTTATTATTTTATTTTCTCTTTTGGGTAATACTCTGCAGTGCTCAGGGCTTACTCCTAGCTCTGTGCTCAGGGATGACTCCTGACAGTGCTCAGGGGACCATATGGGATGCCAGGATTGGACCCTGATTGATCACGGGCACAAATGCTCTACCTGCTGTACTATTACTCTGACTCCAGAAATCATCAGGTTTTTTTATTTGTTTGTTTTTTGAGCCACACCTGGTGATACTTGGGGGTTACTCCTTGCTCTGCAAGCAAGAACCACTCCTGGCAGCAGTGCTCAGGGGACTATATGGGATGCTGAGGAATCAAACCCTGGTCGGCCATGTGCAAGGCAATTGCCTTACCCACTCTCTGGCCCTGGCTCTGTGTCTTTAAAAATATTCAAAAGAGGGCTGAGGAGAGAACTCAGAGGGTTGAGCCTACGGAGTTTTTGTTGCTCCCCACTGCATGGTTCCTGAGTATTGCCTGGAGTGACCCCTGGGATAGAGCCAAGAGTAGCCCCTGCACGCTACTGGATATGGTCCAAAATTTGTTTAAATATATGTTTTTATTCAATATTTTATTATATATATTTAGGTTTTTAGACCACAAGTATTGTGTAGTTATTGGAACTGACTGCTAAATAAAGCTAGGGGAAAAGACTTGGGCCACACCGACAATAATAGCTATTGTTTGTTTAGTATTTATGCGAAGCACTTTATTTATACACTGTCACATGCCTTCGCTAACAGAGTGCATATTATTTTATTGTCGCCACTTTACAGTTGAGGAAGTCGGAGGTCGGAAAGGTCATGTCCTCAGTCATCAGTCACTGGTGAGTGGCAGAGGCAGAGCTTGAAGGGACCCAGGGCTGCAATGCAGAGTGTGGCCCCTACATTCTGAGCTCAGGGCAATTGATCCCAGGAGTTCATATACCTGGTTGCCGCCCACATTCATCTGAAGGTGACAGGGAGAACAGATGGGATAGTCTTTTATTTTGTTTTTCTTTTTGGGCCACACCTGACAGTGCTCAGGGCTGACTCCTGGCTTTGCTCTCAGGGATCACTCCTGGCGGTGCTTGGGGAATCACATGGGATGCCAGAGATCGAATCTGGGTCAGCCGCATGCAAGGCGAGCACCCTACACTTTTTTTTTTCTTTTTGGGTCACACCTGGCGATGCTCAGGGGTTACTCCTGGCTCATGCACTCGGGAATCACTCCTGGTGGTGCTCGGGGGACCATATGGGATGCTGGGAATTGAACCTGTGTTGGCCATGTTGGCTGCGTGCAAGGCAAACGCCCTACCCGCTGTGCTATCGCTCCAACCAAGCACCCTACACTTTGTACTATCTCTTTGAGCTCCTGGAATAGCTCTTCCTTCTTTTTTTAATTTCTTCCTTTCTTTCCCCTTTCACTTCCCCTTCCCCTTCCTCTTGATTTTAAGCCATTCTCAGGGGTGGATCCAGGAACTATTACCAGCTGGTTACTCCCTACAATGCTCAGTGCAGTGGCTGAGATTGAACCAGGATCTTCCTGTGTGCAAAGCCTGTGCTCTGTCCTTTCAGCTATCCCTCCGGCTCTGGAGTAGGATTTCTTGAGAGAAAGGAACATTAGGGAAGTTATTGAGAGCTTTATTTCTAAGCGGGAGGGGGCTCCCAAGCAGTGCTCAGGGGGCCTAGAGGTCACACATTCAGCAATACTTGAGGGGCAGGAGTGATAGTGTGATAGTATAGCACTTAGGGTGCTTGCCTTACACCTGGTCAACCGGGGTTGATCCTCAGAACCCCATGGAGTGCCTTAACCCACCAGGAATAATTCCTGAGCACAGGGCCAGACATAAGTCCTGAGCATAGCTGGGTATGGCCTAAAGGTAAAAAACAAACGAAAAGGCCCCCAAAACCTTACTCAGCTATGTGGGCCAGAAGGTTTAGTGCTCGGCCAACAACTCCAGGGCAGCTTAGGAGTTGTTGAGGTGACCATGTGGTACAAGGATCTCCGGGGGCCAGGCATAAGCTCCCGCTATCTCCTAGCCCCTCGAGCTTTCTATCAAGGGTGTTTGGCCCGGACACCCTGAGAGTTTTGAGCTTGGAAGGGAGATCATCCGTACAGAGGGGAACGGTGTGTCAAGAATATCTCCTGCGTAATTGTCACCCATCTACTCACCAAGCTGCTGCCCCCGCAGCCTCTCAAAACCTCCTGCCCTGCAGGCCCTGGGAGGGCTCTGTCACCCCCCCCCCTGCCCCCCACGCCTGCCGCTTATCTCCTCACACCCCTGCCATGGTATTTCTTCACCCCTTCGGGCCAGCCTCTGTGCCCAGTGAGAGCTTTTCACCATCCAAATGCCAGTCTAGGCCTTGGAGCAATGATCCCAAAGCAACTCTCCAGGCTCATGCTGGGCTCAGGAACTTGCATTAGCTGGGGACCGCCTGCTGGCTTTTCTCTCTCCCTCTCTTCCTTTTTCCCTTCTTCCCTTCCTCCTTCCTTCCTTCCTTCCTTCCTTCCTTCCTTCCTTCCTTCCTTTCTCTTTCTTTCCTTTTTTCTTCCTTCAGTTCTTCCTTTCTTTCCTTTCTGTCTCTCCTCCTTTCGTTTCCCTCCCTTTCTTTAATTTCCCTTCTCTTTGCTCCATCTCCATTCCTTTCCACCCCCCTTCTTTCTTCCATCCTCTGTGGTGCTCAAGGAGGTCATATGGTACTGGGATTAAACTGGACCTTCTACATGCAAAGCATGCACGCTAGCCCTTTGAGCTGTCTTCCTGATCCCGGCTCTGGCTTTAGTCCTCCCTGTAAGCAAGCTACCTCTGTATGACTTTTTTTGTTTTGATTTTTTGACCACACCCAGTGACATTCTGGGGCCACGCCTGGCTCTGTGTCAGGGGCCCCACCTAGTGGTGCTCAGGGCCCAGTATGTGGTGCTGAGAATCAAACTCGGCTGGCCCCGTGCAAGGCAGGAGGCTTACCCCTGTACTAGGTCTCCAGCTCCCCTTTATTTCTTATTGTGCCAGCAGAGACCTACGCGTACAGCATCTTTCCCGTTGGCAGGTGCAGTGGGGCCAGGGCAGGCTTGAGACTTGAGGCACAGGCCGCTGGCTTCCCTGGCTTTAGGCCTGGGTCCATCTTGGCTCTGGACCTCTCTGGCTTTGTGGTGGGTGACGGAGTTTACAGATTGCAGCAGGCGGCCAGTCAGCGCTCCAGGAGAATGTGACCCAGGGTCACCTCAGGTTGGAGAATGAGATAATGACAGCTGTAGCAGGAGGGTAGAAAAAAAAATAAAGCATGCCCAGCACCCCATGAGGCCTGGACAGTGATTCTCATTTTCGATTATTTGTCCGTTCCCAAGTTTCTGTGTCAGACTCTTTGTGGCCATGCCTTGGACTGTGAGGGGCTCTGATGAGGCTGGTTGAAAAGCAAGGCAGCACAACAGTGGTGCATTCCTGTACTCTTCATTATTCCACCCCCTTCGCCACTTGCGGCCACCCAGTCTCTGAGCACACCCCCCATCCCCAGTGGTTTGCCTGCCTCCTCGGGAAGCATTTTGCTTTTCTAGCTCATGAGTAAATATTGGCCTCTTTAGGTTTCAGATGCCTGCTCCCCGAAACCTTGGTGAGGTCAGATAAACACCCTGGGATAACAGCTCTGGAGAGTAAGAGTTGCTTTTGGCTGGAACACAGAGAATCTTCTTGCCAAGGCCTCACAGTGGTCAGTGCTGTGTTGGCCTCTTGGACCCCTGGGATAGTGGCAGGTGGCCCAACCTCCCTCTGGGAGCTGGAGGTCCGCTTGGGGAGAGAAGTCTCACACCCCAGGAATGTATGGAGTTTGTGTGCCAGGCAGCTGCGAGGATCCTGAAGGAGGATTCTTGTCTGAGTAGGAGGTGGCTCTCTCTGACCAGCAGAACCCTTTCCTTTCTGTGGTTTGAAGTGGAATTCAGTCAAGTGCCAAAAGGTCTGCTGCAAACAATGGCAACATGGGCCAGCAGGAAAAGGAGTTTGGCTGATGCTCTCTGGGGAGAATAGAACAAGGATGGGCCATGGGGATTAGCCGGGAGGAGCTGTAGCTGTGATTTGTTCAGCCGCTGATACTCATCTCTCAGACATGTCCCTAGCCTCATCCCCAGCTCCTCCTAGGGCCCCTGCTTTGGGGCTCTCTTAGTGGCAAGTGTCAAAAGTCTGGTTCCTTTCTTGTGGGTGACTTGCTTGTTCTTCCTCTGCCCTCCTCTCAACTTGTCCCACCTTGGATCTTGCATTTTCCTTCACCGTCCTCTGCAACAGCTGGGTTCTTAGGGTCTGGAGAGGCGCTCCCCACATTGGGAAATCCAAAGGTTGGGCTTATCTCTGAGTCGGATCCCAGTGAAGATCCTGACTGACTGGAAGGCTGGAGATTTCCAGGCAGACAAGGAATCTACTTCAAGCATTGATGTGGGGGAGTGGGGTCAGGCCAGGAGGCAGAACTGGCCTGACCAGTCAGAGACCTGAGAGCTGAGAAAGTTGAAGGAAGATCTGAGCGTGTGCATGGTCACGTGTGTGTGTGTGTGTGTGAGAGAGAGAGAGAGAGAGAGAGAGAGAGAGAGAGTGTGTGTGTGTGTATTTGTGTGTATGTGTATGTGGTGGTAGTGGTATTAGTGGTTAAAAAGAAACTAACATTTGCTGAACCGAAACTACCTTTCTAGCTCTGTGGGTTGAATCTCCTTCCTGCCTGGCTTCTAGCCATGAAGCCCTATTTTTTTGGTGCCTTTCAGCCAATGGAAAAAGTATGCATTGAGTACCGCGCATTCTAGGGCCAGGTAAGGCCTTGCATGCACTTGCAGCAGCTGTGACCCTGGTTCAGCACCACATATGCTTCCCTGAGTACTGCCATGGTTCATTCCTGAACACAGAGCCAGAAAGAGCCCCTGGGCACCACTGGGTATGGTCCCCCAAAACAAACAAAAGGGAAAAAGAGAAGAGGTCTATTTTTTGGGGGGGGTAACACCCGGAGATGCACAGGGGTTACTCCTGGCGGTTCTCAGGGAGCCATATGGGATGCTGGGGATCGAATCTGGGTCAGCTGTGTGCAAGGCAAATGCCCTACCCATTGTGCTATCGCTTGAGCCCCAGAAGAGGTCTATTCTTTTTTTTTTTCCCTTTATTTTATTTTATTTTTTTTAAAGTTGTAGATTTACAATTTTTTGTGCTTTGGTTTCAATTATACAATGATCAGATACCCATCCCTCCACCAGTGCCCATTTTCCACCACCATGGATAATATCCCTCCCACCCCCATCCCCCCATCCCCCCTGTCTCTGTGGCAGGGCAATCCCCTGTGTTAAGAGGTCTATTCTTGATCAGGTGGATAGTATGTTTTTTGTGAGAGGATAGTCTCCTGGCTTGTCCCCTCCTGGGTTACCAGAGAGGAAGCTGACATGATGGAAGGTTGTAGGCTGACTTCAGACCTGTTAGGCAGGGGAGATCCAGGGTCAGTCACTTGCCCAAGAGGTTGGTCCTCTATGCACAAACTTTCACAGGAAAGAAGCAGTTTCTCCTGCTCATACCATGTGTGCACACACATGCACACATGTGTGGGCCTGGAGCAAGAGGCCTATCAGTCTCAGAACAAGAGGAGGGCTTGTTGGAGCTATGCCTGATGGAGTCCTGACTTTGGGCTTGGTGCCCAGGCAGGGAAAGAGTTGCAGCGGTGCCAGCAGGAGGCCAATGAGGTGACGGAGATCATGCTCAAAAACTTCGACAAGGTCCTGGAACGCGATGGGAAACTGTCTGATCTGGAGCAGCGTTCACATCAACTCCTGGATATGGTGTGAGGCCTGGGGAAGCCAGGAGGGTCCAGGGAATGGTGAGGGAGAGTCCTCAGGCAGCTATAGGCTCCAGTGCCTCAGGCCCTGGGTGGGGTCAGAGGCTTATCTGGGTGCTAGAGGGAGGTTTTGATTTCTCAAGGTTAGATATGCTACGGATAAACTTTTTGGAGTAAGAAGGCCTTGGTGTGAAGCTGGAGCCCTTCTTGCAGGTAGGGGGCTGCCATTATTAACAGTGGTGAGCCAGCCAAGCAGTAGTTCAGGGCTATATAGTGTCTGAGAATAGCACTGTGGGGTGGGGCATGGGGTCAGGGACAGTGGATAAAGGGGAGGAGATGGAAGGGGACTAGGTCTAGCTGGGTTGGTGTTAGGAGGATCTGGCTCCATGGCTCTGGGGGACCACTAACTCCTCTGTGTCTGGGGCCATCCACAGAGCACAGCCTTCAGCAAGACAACCAAGAAGCTGGCGCAGAAGAAGAGCGGGGAGAACATCCGCTGCCGGATCTTCTTGGGGCTAGCGGTGGGTGGTGCCCTGCTTCTCATCTTGATTGTGCTGCTGGTCCTCTTTCTCCCGCAGAGCAGCAATGTGACCAGCGCCCCAAAGACCCAGAATGCAGGTGTGGAGACTGAAGCAGAGGCCATAACACCATACTGACTGGTTCTGGTCTCCAGAGAGCCCTGGTGTTTGCTCTCTGCTGACTTCCCCACTGGGCAGGACCCCTTGTGTGCACCTCCGCATCTCCCATCCTACCAAAGACTGACCCCCTGAGGGGAACCTTCTGCACTGGTCATGCCAGCCCCATCTGGAGCTCAGTAAAAGCTGCTGTTTGGTTAAGAGCTGTTGGGTATGTGTGAAGATCTGTCGATGGGTTGGTCCTTGATCTGCCTCTACTCTGGGCCTGATCAGAAAGCTTCCTGCCTAAGACACTCCATCCCCGTCCCTTCCTTCTCAATATTATATAGCTATGATGGAGTACAGGTATAAAGACACAGTAGCTCCCAAACCAGACCTTTCAATCAGGACCCTCCTGAGCTTGTGCCCCTAGAGATGGAACCCATGAGTTTTCTGATAACTTAGAGATGCTGTTAGATTCATTTGGCAAACAAATCTCCAGAGGAGACTAAGAAAGAGGAAAGCACTTTGAAGATTTACACAGAAGGCGCTCACTGTTGGATAAGCTTTCCCCTTCTGGGGCTGGAGAGATAACACAGTTGGTTGGGTGCTTCCCTTGCACTCGACCAACCTGGATTCAATCTCCAGCATCCCATATGATCCCCTGAGCACCGCCAGGAGTGATTCCTAAGTGCAGAGCCAGGAGTAACCCCTGAGCATTGGTGGGTGAGACCCCAGAAACAACATACACACACACACACAAAATCCATCAAAAAAACCACTCTCCCCTTTCTGAACACCTCCGTCTCCCCCATTTCTCTTCCTATGTTCTTCCTCAAGCTCTGCACCTGATTACCGATGAGGTAGGGGGCAGTGATAATGGGATGTCCTTCTATGGCATCTCAGGTAGAGCTGAAAGGATGGAGTGAGTTCACCCAATAGGAAATAATGGAAACTTTCCAGCATCAGGGTCCCTCAGAGTCAGTAGGCAGTACCTTCAGGTCTGCTGCAAAGAGCCCTGGGTCCAGGTCATGAAAGAGAGAAAGAGTGTCTGATCAGGGCAGCTTCTGCTTAGATTATTTAGCAGAAGTGCAAGCTCCAATGTAGGTGGGCAGTGGGTTTCAGGGTCAAGTGTCACATAAACAGTTCCCTCTTATGGAGAGTGAGAAATAATATGTGGAGGGGCTGGAGCAATAGTACAGCAGGTAGGGTACCTACCTTGCCAACCCTGGGCTCAATCCCCAGCATCATATGTTCCCCAGAGCACTGCCAGGAGTAATTCCTGAATGCAGAGCCAGGAGTAACCCTTGAGCATCACCAGGTGTGGCCCTGAAGTAAAAAAAGATTAAGTGAAGAGTTGGATGATGCTTTCACCTCACACAGAGCATCCCTTCCACTGTGCTCATTGCCATATTCCTCCAAGATAGAGAGACAGAACTGCAGGTAAGGCACTTGCCTTGCATAGAGCCAATGGGAGTTCAATCCCTGGTGCCCCATATGGTCCCCTGAGCCTGCCAGGAGTAAATACTGAGCACTGCTGGGTGTTTCCCCCAAATCAAAGTCAAACTATCTTCTTATCCTGGGAAAGACTTAGGGAAGCCCCTGGCCCTGCAGCTGGTTAGCAACACTCTTTAGAGACCATGTGAATTTGGACAAGCCACTTTCAGGACTTGGGTTTTAGCTATGTAAAACCTAAGTCCTGAAAGTGCCTTACCTAGGTGCCAGGACAATTGTGAGGATCATTTATAATGGAACAGTTCTATAAAGGTAAAGGTAAAGGTAAAGGCCCTCCCGTTGATCGTCAATTTGCTCGAGCGGGCCCAGTAACGTCTCCATTGGAGACTCTGTTGTTACTGTGTCTGGCATATCGAATACTCTCGGTAGCTTGCCGGGCTCTCCGAGAGGGGCGGAGGAATCGAACTCGGGTCGGCCATGTTGGCTGCTTGTAAGGTGAACGCCCTACCCGCTGTGCTACAGTTCTATATGCCTAATAAATAGTAGCTAGTATTCAAATCATTCAGATTCTCAACCCTGCCTTACAGTAGAATCCTTATAATTCTTATAAAGACACCATTTCCAGGCTTAGATCAGTTCAATCAGATTAAACTTCCAGCCTTGAAGCTAAAGTTTAATTACGAGAAATATAGTAGGCACTGGAGCATTAGAACATAGAGTAGAGCGTTTACCTTGCAGGCATACCTGACCTGAGTTTGATCCCCAGCCCCTCATATGGTCCCCCCACCCCCAAGTCCGCCAGGAGTGATCCCTGAGTGCAGAACCAAGAGTAAACCCTAAATACCAAGCCCCTACACCACCAATGTAGCTGAATCCCCTTGACTCCTGCCCACTGTTGCTTGCCATACCCCCTTGACTTGATTTCTTTCCTTCTGCTCGTTCGTTATACTCTGGGGCATCTTCCCTTTAAACCATTACATCCCCTTGTCTAGTTATTCTAAATACCACAGGTAAGTGAGATTATCCTGCATTTGTCCAGAGTAATATGCTCTTTTGTTGTTTTGGGGTCCACACCTGGTGGTGCTCAGGGCTTTCTGGTAGCTTTCTCTGCTTAGAGATCAATTTTGTGGAAAGTCCGGGACCATGTGTGGTGCTAGGGACAGAACTTAGGTCAAACAAGTGGAAGACAAGCGCCCTCTCGTTGTACTATCTCTTCTAATTTGGAGGAGATTCACATCCTCCAAATGCAATGCACACATACTCTACCGCTGAACCTATTCCCCAAATCCGCGGTTTTTATATTTTTCTTGTAAAGCTTCAACGGTTCAACTCTTATTCTAGGAGATTTGAGAGTAGGCTCAGAGGGTAACCATGGGTGTCAGAGATCGAACCCGGGTCAACCAAGCCGCGTGCAAGGCAAGAGCTATATCCGCCAAACGATAGTTCAGGTTTCACATTGCAATTACTGTGCCTAACACATAAGAAACGAGCAGGACATTTTTTCTTTTCCTTTTTTTTTTTTTTAAATTAGTGAATCACCGTGGAGTACAGTTACAAACTTACGGACTTTCGTAATTGTATTATAGTCATACAATGATCGTTTACCCATCCCTCCACCAGTGCCCATTCTCCCCCAACAAAGTTCCCAACATCCCTCCCACCTCCCACCCCATCCTCCACCATCCCACCCTGCCTCAACTGCAGGGCATTCCCTTTTATTCTCTCTCCTTTTGGGTGTTGTGGTTGAGCAGGACATTTTAAGCAGGGCAGTGGGAGGCGCCCTCTCCAGGCTTTTCGCTGAGACTCGGAACCCTGAGCCTGGGCTTTGCAAGGCTTTTCCTCTCTCTCTGAGAAGACTCTATCCTGAGACCCTCTCCTAAGCGTGAGCGCCAACGGAGGGCTCCCGAACCCCGCACACTCGCTTTGGAAGGCTTAACCAATACTGGGTACTAGAGTCATTCCAGGCTCCGGCCCCTAACCAAGTGTTTTCAGACCGTCTCCTCTCTGCCAATTGGCTTCGCGCTTGGGTCACTTGACTCATACGAGCCAATAAGGGGCGAGAGAAGTAAGACTTCCGCTGTCTGCGCCGCAAGCGGCGCCTGTGCCCGCCCTTGGGACGCTCGGATTGGTCGTCCTTTCTAAACTCGCCATTCTATTGGCTAGCACCTTGGAGCCGCTGTCCAGCGGCCTCCACGGCTGTGTCAGATCGCCGGCAGCCATGGCGTCTTATTTTGATGAGCACGACTGCGAGCCGGTGGGGCGCGAGCGGGACACCAGAAACAACAGGCTGCTGGAGCTCGCTCGGTGGGTGCGCGGGGCCGGGGGGTGAGGTGTTGGGGGGCAGGTTTCTGGACCGTGCCGGCCCCGGAGGGGTGAATGGAGGCGGCGGACCGTGATGAGGAAAGAGGAAGGATGAATACGCAGGGTAGTCGGAGCGGGTGGGGTGGGGGCTTAGTCGAGCATCAGCTCGTGTTGTCCCGGGGGAGTCGGGCCCGAGACCCGAGGGGCTCGGGCGCGGGGGCTGGGCTGGCGGTGTGAGTGGGCGGGTCGGCCCGGCAGCCGCGCGGGGTCCCCACGGGCCCTCGGAATCTGGGGTCAGCAGCTCATTCCTGCGTCACTTCTCTGCCCACTGCCTCGTGTGTCAGTGACAGTGAAGAGCCTGGGTGCCGGGTCCGTCCGATAGCTGCGGTCAGTTACTGCCCGCAGTGCTTCGTCTTGTGAGCACTATCATCATCATCATCATCATCATCATCATCATCATCATCGTTATTTTGGGTTTCGGGCCACATCCGACTGTGTTCAGGGTTTACTGCTGGCTCTTGCGCTCAGGCATCACTCCTTAGGGGGCTCGGGTTCCATATGGGGTGCCGGAGGATCGAACCCGGGTCCGACGCGTTCATGGCAAGCAAGCGCCCTCCTCCTCCGCAGCTCACGTGAGCACTATTTCAAGGGCAGCTGTTACCGCTGCTTGCTAGGGCAAAGGTGTGCATCCGCGAGTGCCTAGTGGGTGGTGGGGGTGTGGCAGTCTGGGCGTTCCTCAATGCTGACCTTGCATCTCCTTCAGCTCACTGTTCAATAGGATGGACTTTGAAGACTTGGGTTTCCTTGTGGTAGATTGGGATCACCAGCTACCTCCACCTGCTGCCAAGACCGTGGTTGAGAATCTACCCAGGACAGTCATCAGGGCCTCCCAGGCTGGTGAGAATGATGGAGTCCTCCTGTTTAGGGCAGCAGGGCCGGACACATGCAAATGTGTCTTCCCGTCTCTGACTGCTCCTGGCCTTTCATTTTTCCATCTTAGGAAAGGAGTGGCCTTCAGGAGGGGTGGGCTCGGGGCTCTAACACCTCTCCTGATCAGTCACTCCCTCCTAAAGGGCTCAAGTGCCCTGTGTGTCTTTTGGAATTCGAGGAGGAGGAGACCGCCGTTGAGATGCCGTGCCATCATCTCTTCCATTCCAACTGTATTCTGCCCTGGCTAAGCAAGGTACCACTTCCTTCCCCCCAGCTTCCCACCCTGTCCTGGGCCCAGTTCTCAAGCCTCAATTTGGTTATGAATTGTGGGGAGGGGCTGGGGTGACATTTGATTTTGCTTAGTTCGGGGTCACATCCAGGGATGCTGAGAGCTTGTTCTGGCCCTGTGCTCAGGCACCACTCCTGCCAGGGCTCCAGTGACCCTATAAGGTGGTGGGGAATTGAATCTGGGTCACCTGAGTGCAAGGCGTGTGCCTTACCCTCTCTACTATTGCTCTGGCCTCTGACATCTGAGAGCATGTGAGGAATTCCATATGGGGCTTGGGTTCCATATGGGGTGCTGGGGATCAAAACGGACCCGGGTTGGGGCTGGAGTGATAGCTTAGCCGGTAGGGCATTTGCTTTGCACGCGGCTAACCCGGGTTCGATTCCCAGCATCCCATATGGTCCCCTGAGCACCGCCAGGGGTAATTCCCCTTAGTGCAGAGCCAGGAGTAACCCCTGTGTGTTGCCGGGTGTGACCCCCAAAAAGAAAAAAAAAAAAACCGACCCGGGTTAAAGTTCTGCCTGACTCTCCCCAGACAAATTCCTGCCCCATGTGCCGCCATGAGCTGCCCACAGATGATGATACTTACGAAGAGCACAGGCGAGACAAGGTAGGGGCTGGCAGTGGTAATGGGCCTCCCTCAGATCTTGTCCTTGGTGTGCTCATCCCCCACGACTAGCAGAGCTGAGTACCCTCAGGTCCTTGGCTCCGGCTGCTTTTCCAGTCACTCTGGTGATGGACAGGAGCCTGGGCAGCGCAGCTGTGTGAAGCTGTTTGAGCAGTGAGAGCTAGCCCCGAGATTACAGCCTCTGTCCCTGGCTCACAGGCCCTTCAGCCCAGTGCCGGCTCGTGTACCTTCTTTTCTTTAGGCTCGAAAGGAGCAGCAGAAGCACCGGCTTGAGAATCTCCACGGCGCCATGTATACCTGAGGCAGCTGGGGCTGGGCAGTGGTTGTCCACTACGTCATCATCTCGAACCTCTGATCCTCATTAAAGATTTTTTTACCCACCCTGCAGCTGCCTTGCTCACAGGATGGGGCTGGGGCTGTGAATCCTCTAGGGCCCTGCTGCAGTTGGGAGAGGTGGTCCTGAAGAGCAGAAGGTGCCAGGCTGTGTGTCCCTCTCTGTCAAGCCTGCCGGCCCGTCTCAGTTCAGAGCAGTGGAGTCCAAGAACCAGATGGGTTTATCCTATGTTTGTGCAGTGGGAAACCATGATGTGCCAGGAAGTCTGGGTCTGGTACCAGAATTAAGGATAGGGCAAACCAGCCTCAGCCCAACCCTACTATTTTATGTCAATTCTAGGGGCTTTCTTTTGGTGTGTGTGTGGGGGGCGGGGGCACTGGGGGAGAGGGAGGGGGAGTAGGGGAGCTGCATCTAGCGTGTTCAGGCTTATTCCTTGCTCTGCACTCAGATCACTCCTGGTGGGGCTCGGAGGACCATATGGGATGCTGGAAATCGAACCTAGGCTGGCTGCTTACAAGGCAGTGCCTTACCTGCTGTACTGTCATTCACCACCACCGCCACCCTCCCCTTCCAGGGGCTTTCTTTAGCTCCATTAGGAAATTATTTCTAACACTTAAAATATTTGCTCTCTTCATTTTCCCCCTTACCCCACCCCCAGTCCCCTATAAAGCTTTGTTTTTCAAAATAGATTCTGAGTGGGGAATGAGGATGAGAAGATCAGGTCAGTTCTTTAGATTGTCAAAGGGCCTTGAGGAAATTTGGAGTGCACCTGGCAGCTATCTAGAAAGAGTGTGTCTACTCTCGAGTCTTTCCCTGGGCCAGGGGCTCCCTCCCATCTTTGGCCCAGAGTAAGCTATGCTGGATGAGGCTCTCTCTGACGCTCCAGAACAGACTACAAGCATGCAAATTAGAATTCTTTTAATAGATATATAAAAAAAAAGGTACTAAAATACCCATGTGGTTCTGTTGTGTCATTTACCCTAAAGAAAGGGGCAGTGGGGGAAGCATCCCAGTATAGCTCTGTGAGGTCTCAGAGACTAAGGCATGCTCAGCTCTTCACCCCTTTCTATCCATCTGGCTGTTCCCAGGCCCCAGTTACTGCAGCAGGAAACCCCAGTGGTCTGGCTTTGCCACCAGGGAGTTGAAGGCACCGGAAGGGCTGGCTGGGTGAGTGAGGAGAGGTTATCCTTAACCCAGAAAACACTGGTTGGGGAGCGGACTGTGTGCAGCCTGGGCAGATGCCAGGGCCCGCTCCTCCATGGCACAGGTGGGCACGTGCAGGCTGCTAGGACCAGGGGAGCCTAGAGAGCCCAGTGAAATAGTCCGTCAAGGTTATTTTTGGTACAAAAGAAATGCAGAGAAGGGAAGGCTGGGGAGCTGTGGAGGCCGGGCCTGCCGCCCTCCCCGACCTCAGATCATGGCGATGTTCTCGGGGGCACAGTTGAGGTGAGTGGAGGTGCTGCTGCTCCCAGAGGACTTGCAGGCCCTGCTTGGGGCTGGGTGCAGCGCCGCGACCAGTGTCTCCGAGGACACAGCCCCGAACTCGTAGCTGAAGGTGCCGTAGAACACCAGGATGTCAATGACAAACACCCACTCACACAGGGCCGCGCCGTGCTGCAGCAGAGAACTCTCGTGGAGGAAGAAGACGCCACCTGGAAAGGGCTAAGGAACTGTTGTTCAGCAGGGACAGAGAGGGAGTGGCACCGCTTCTGCCTCCCCCACCCCTGGCAATCCTGGGCAGTGTTAACTGTGATGGGTCCCCCCTCCCCCCTCCCCGAGGGCTGGGCTGGAGGAGCTGCTGGCCACCGTCTCGAAGGATACTGAGGATCAGGGTGACAAAGGCGATGACCGCGAGCACGATCCGGAGGTAGGCCACGGCCAGGTCCTGGGGCGCGGTGGCTCCGTGGTAAGAGAGGGCACAGTGCAGGCAGATGAAGAGCAGCCCGGCGGAGAAGGCCACTCCGGTTCCAACGTAGTGCAGAGACTTGGCGTGATCCACCTGGGCCCCAGAGAGGGGCTGTCTGGGAAGCAGCTCCAGCCCAGATCCCTTCCCGTGGCCTCTGGCCTCCGCTCTCCTCCTCTCTTCCCCTCCCACTTCCCCCCCCACCCCAACCTTGAGTGGCTGCCTCTGCAGCTCGGGCCAGCCCTCAGGAAACTGAGGACCCTTCCCTGCAGAACGGCCAGCCCCTGTAGGGGAAGTTCCAGAATGCCATGCTAAGTTGCTACAGAGCATGAAATGACCAAGAATGTGATCTTCAGGCAGTGCAATTTTTTTTCTTTTTGTTTTTGGGCTGCAACCAGTGTTGCTCAAGGATTTCTCCTGGAGGGGCCTCAGGGGACCACATGGGATGCTAGGGATTGAAACCAGGTTGGCTATGTACACGGCAAGCACCCTGCCCCTTGTGCTACGGCCCCAGGCAGTGCATTTTCATAAAACACAGGGAAATGTCCTTGCATTTACTGGCCCCATCCAAGAACAGGTGGGGCAGGCGATCCTACCTGGAAGTTCCCCACTACCACCAGGCCCGCGGTGTTGGTGCAGCCTGTGATGAGCGTCGTCGTATTGAGCCAGGAGTGCCGGCCCTGCTCCAAGAGCTGCCCGTAGCGCAGGAGGCAGATCAGGGCCACTGAGGGAGGAGAGTACGTGGAGGGCCTTGCCCTGACCCAGCAAGCCTGCCAGCTCCCCCACCCCAAGGCCGGAAGGGAACAGATAGGCGGGTGATCACTGAGTTTCCTCAGGCTGCGGGCGGGCGGCAGGGTGGCTGTGTGGGAGTCAGCCTTTGACCTTCGAGGAAGACAAGTGGCCCCCTCTCACCATGGCCCTGGAAGGGGAGGGTTGTGCTGACCGAGGGCTGCTGGGCCTTTCTGGGAGGGGCTGGGGGTTTCTGGATTGGGCTGGCAATGCAGGTTGAGGGCACAACTCACCCATGAAAGCACCCACGTTGCCAATGAGGCTGAAGAGGCAGCTCTCTGGGGGATATGTGCCACACTTGCTAAGGGGGAGGGGGCAAGGACAGAGTGAGAGAGGGTGAGAGCCCCCGAGCCCCCACATTCTGGCCCACCCGCTCTCCTGTGTCACTGGAACCAGCTTTTCAGCAGGCGAGTCACTGATTTATAACAGGGGTGCTGTCCTTCACAAACCACTGGCTTCGGGGGTGCCCTCCACAACCCTGATTTCCTCATAGGAAAGAGTCCCAGCAGACCCCGAGACTGGAACTCTCTGAGCTTGTCAAGGTCACAGCTAATCTGGCTTCCCTTGAGCAGGGGGAAGGAGCTAACTCTGGAATCTCCATTTATGATGGGGGCCTGGATGGGAGGGAGTAACACTGCGTCTCAGATTCCTTATCTATAAAATGGTAAAAAACAAGCTGCCTCAGTGCTGCGAAGACGAGATGCCCAGAAAGCTCTCGGCACAGTAACCAACTCAGGACCGTTGTTATAGTCTCTGCATGGAGTTCTTATTCCTGGGCCCCCTAGCTTGGCCTGGGAGGGGCTTGGGTCTCCCGTATCCACCCTGTTTCCAGGCCTTACCTGATGAGGGGCACGTCATCCAGGGTACAGCAGGTCTTGGGGCCCCCTTGCTCAGTGGGGTCAGAAGAGCACGACTCGTTGTAGGACCTGGCAGGCAGGACAGAGTAGACTTGGGGGAAGGGGCTCTCCCACGCGGCTGGCCTGGCCGGTGACCTCAGGCGGCTGGCACCACCCTCCAGGCCTCCCTCAGCACCAACAGAAGAGCCCACTTCCCAAGGCCCGCCTGAGGCGGGAGCCCGAGGGGTGAAGGGAAGGCAGGAAGCAGCAGGTGGGCACAAAGCCATGCCTGGGGAGGGGCCGGAGCTGCCGTGTCAGAGGAGAGCAGTGAGGCCTAGGATGTCCATTGGCCTGCGGCAGAGCCGGCCCAAGAGGGGAGAGACATGAAGAAGGGAGCGTGAGAGAGGCGGTCTGCAGAGTGCACTGTACCAGTTCTCCACGGGGCACACGTGGCGGTTCATCACGGCCATGGCATACCTGTGGGGGTGCCAGCGTCACTCCACGGCTCTGCCCATCCCTGCCCATCCCGGTCCTCCCTGCAACACTTCTCTGCCTTGCAGCCCCTTTAGCCTCACGGTCTTTGTTGGGGGACTCAAGCTGGTCTTGGCCTGGAGGCTCAATGCTAGCACAGCACCCACAGCCCAGTCAACGAGAGGACCAGAGAAGTGCAGGGGTGCCACACGGTCGGGCAGTAGGGGTGCCAGCTGACTCTAAGGTACCGTGGGCCCAAGCACAAGGGTAGGATTTAGAGACAGTCAGAGAGCCCTGGCCACCAGAGTGGAGCCTGCAACAGGCCAAGGATTTGTGCCACCAACTTTCTCTTGGTTTTGCCTGCCCGGTCCATTCTCAGCTCAGGTCTCTTTTGTCCCCTGGGTTGTCTCCGGCGCTCGGGGTGTACTCACACAGTCCATAGGCCCGTGATGGAGAATGCTGACAAGCTGACAGGAAGGAGGATCCAGGCGGTCATGAGGGAGGGGGGCCAGGATGATGGTAGAATGGGGGCGAGGGCGAGAGGTAGGTGGGGATGAGGGGTCGGGCCGAGCTACCTTAAGGAACTTCGCCAAAACCATCAGCTGCCCTGGCCTGGTGGGGAGAGAGAGGTCAAAGTCCAGGGTCCTGTGACTGGCCAGTGGGGGGGGGGGAGGGGGGGCAGAGGAGGGGGAGGGGCCGGTGGACACCAGGCTCCGGGCTCCCTTGGTTGGGGCCCCGCGGGCTCCAACTCTGGGCTGAGCCCACACCGGGGGCTGCAGCCACGGGGGGCTTCCGCGTTCCAGATGCCACTGGCGCGCTCAGACTCCGCGCGCCGAGCCCTGACATCTGGAGCGGGAGTGCCCGGGGGTGGGAGCGCGGCCGGGATCGCGGCAATCACGCCGAGGGAAGCCCGGGCCGGGTGGAGCGGCGGGGGGTCGCGGACACCTGCCCACCGGCGCCCGGGGCGGCAGGGGCGGCAGCCCGCGGGGAGCCCGGCACGGACAACGCCGGCGGGGGCGCCCGCAGCCCGGGCTCGGTTTCGAAGCCCTCGGCCGGCGGACCCGCCGCAGCTCGAGCCTTCGCGGGGGCTCCCTGGAAGGTTCCGGGGTAGGGGGACGCAGGGGGAACCCCAGCAACTCACCTCCTCGGAGCGCCCCTCGCAGCGCCCAGCTCGGCCCCCTCGTGGCGCTGTCTCCGCCCGCAGCCCAGAAAGGTTTAAAGGGCCGGGCGGCCCCGCCCCTGGCGCCCCTGGCCGCCGCGCCGCCCGCCGGGACGTGGAGTCCGCGCGCTCCGGGCCCCGGCGCCCCGGCCCTGCCCGAGACTACAACTCCCGAGCCCCCGCGGCCGCGTCACGGTGCAAACGGGGGCGGCGCTCCAACTTCGGAACCTGGGCGCGGAGGGCAGCGGCCGGGGAGCCGGCGAGATGCCCGTGCCCGCGGTGGGCGCGGCGGCTGCAGGGACGCCCAGCTCCACCCCCGCCCGCCCTGGGCGCGGGGCCGCGGGAGCGTCCCTCTGCCGCCGGGCACATTTTGCGGCCGGCACCGGCCACTGGGAGGCTCGGGGCATCTGCTGTAATGTGGCGCCCTATGCCTTCCTTCCCCAGTCCCTAGGCGAGGCCGTTGAAACGCGAGCGCCAAGCGTTGGCAGTTGCTTTTAAGACATCCAAGTGCCCTTGGCTTCTGCTTCCCTGAGCTCAGCAAACTCCGGAGGAGGGCTACTTACATTCGACACTCTTTTATTTTCAAGGGTACAAGTACACAGAGTACTGTCCAGAAGTCAGGGTCCAAGACATTTCCTGAATACCGGGCACTGATTAAAACCACGCAGCAGGGACCAATGGAGCCTTTCTAAGTGGCCACAAATGGCCAGGTATTGGCAAAAAAAAAAAGAAAGAAAAAAAGAAAAGTTTGGGACTCTGGGAGAAGGAAACAGGATGGTGTGGGAATTAATTTTCCAACAGATTCACCGACATTCTAAGGCCGAGTAGTCTTCCTAGATCTTCTTCTCATGGTTAAAAGTGGGGATATTTCCTTTGACACAGCAGAAGCGTGCCTGGCTCTTTAAAATGCAATCCACAGTTTACTGAGTCCCCCGTGAGACAACATTGGGGTCGATAAGGTTATTTACCTCGAAAGGTCCGGGCGTCCTGGAGTTAGCTTTGGCAGTTCTGGGAAGGCAAAGGTAATGTACCTACCGGGGAGTGTGGGGGCGGGAGGGGCGTGGGGAAAGGAACACATAAACTGGACTATGGACTATGGCTTTAAGGGGTAATCTTTTTGGACTCAGAGATTCTCACTCTTGGCCCACTTCCCCCTTTACGGAAAAAATAATTCCCTCCCCTTGTCATCTACCTTTTCTTTGTTTCCGGGACACACCAACACGGTGCTCAGGATTGAGCTGGGTTCCCCTATGTGCAGAACATGCCCCATAAGCGCTGTTCACTCACTCGGTCCCATCAATCTTTACGCACGGCACCCTCCCATCACCATGGTACCAAGGCTCTGCCGCCCCGCCTCCTTCTTCCCAGCGGCCACCAGGGGGCCGTATTGCCCATTCTGGTAAACACTGGACCCAGTGGCAGGTAAAAATGGAAGCAGGGATGGAAGAAGGAACTCACTAGACTGGGTGCCCAGGGTGTGCCTGGTGTGCAGGAGGCCTGGGTCTGATCCCTGGCACAGCATGGGTCTCTCCTAGCACAGACAGAAGCACTGCAGGTGTGATCCATCCTTCCCATTCCTCTCCCCAAAGAAAACCCTACCCTACCCCCCCAAAACAGAACCTCTGCAGTGATCCCTGGCTGACTGGGGTACACCAGACTGGAGGTGACACAAGGATGGAAGTCTGAGGCATTTTGCTGGTGGTGACTGTGCACCAAGGCCATAAATATTAACACTACTGTTAAACACACTACCAATTACATAAATTACGAACCCCAACCCCAACCTGGTGAATGCACTGGAGATGCTTTGTGCCTGGGGAAAAAGTGACTCCTAGAATTCAATTCCCACCTAGGGATGCTCCCACTGGGGCAGGTACCTTTCTCTCATCTGCCCAGGAGTCTTAGCTAAGTTTCACTGTTCTTAACATTTACTTAGTAGAGTTCCTGCTCAACCACCATCATGGTGCAGGTCTGATGTCAGGCTTCACCTGTTTCAACATATTGTGGGGTTGAGACAGGCACCCCAGAGCAAGGACAGAGGCAGCCTTGGGCTTAGCTGACTGAATACCCTCTAAAATAGAATCATCCCAAAATAGAGCTCCCAACAGAAGGGCTCTTCTTGGAGTTGGCAGGAAGTTGTTGCCTCTCAGGTAAGAAGTAGGACCAGATATCTTTAAAAATCCCTTCCAGCTCTAATGCTACGTCGCTGTTACACTCCAAATAGGACAAGTCTTAAAATAGGCAATGTAAATTAGAGATGAGATTTCAAGTGCTGGGTTCTGTGGTGCTGACAGGACATTAAATTGATCCTTCCCTTTTGTACACAAATGATTTCACAACTTTTGACGGAACTGTTATAAAATGTTCTGAGTTTATTGGTTAAAAAGAATACTGTATTTGAAGAGTAACTTCCTCTTAGAACTTTCAAATAATTTGCACCTTTTGCTTTATCCACACAGCAGAAACACTGGAAATGAGAAAACAGAACATATGGCTTTTCGGACAATAGCACAATATACCAGTGAAACCCCTTTCAGTCTGGGGGCTCCGAGAAAGCAGGGAAGCCATTCATCTAGAAAGTTTTTGTTCCAGCATCATTCCCCAGCCGGCAGATTTGGGGTGGGTACCTATGGCTTCCAGGCATAGGCAAATTACTCCTAGACAAGACAGGAATTCATCAAAAGAACTTAAAATATTCCCAACAATTGTTAGGGTTCCAAGGGCAATCTTTTCAAAAGAAGCCTAGAGGTAGGAAAGTAATCTGTCCTTTTTCTAGATGCAATGACCTCATTTACATTGGTGAACCCTGAGGGGATCTACTACTCAACCATCCACACAATCTGCCCAAAGTAGAAGAGACAGAGTATCTCTATTCCAAATGGTTTCTTCCAGCCCCGCAGGCTAAGTTCTAGGAAGCAGTGTCCTGCAGACTTGGCCATGGAGATGGACTGTCCCTTTCAGAGGCCCATCCACAAGGCAAGCATTGGTCTGACTGGTGGGTCAAGCTCCATAAGCCCCTTCTCTCAGTACAAAAAAGTTTTACAGTCTTCCTTTCCTTTCTTGTATTATATTCTTCAAAGGCTTCCATGCTTGCCAACTGGCTGGAAATTCAAGCGGCAGTGTTTATTCCTGCATAGCTCAAAGCCCCTGCAAACTCTGGCTTCCTTCTATTTGTAAGAGCTCACAGTATGGACCAGGAAACACAAAGCCTTAAACTCCAAGGTTCTCCCTTACTAAGAATGCTTCATTTTGGCTGGGCAGGATCTAGGAAATGACACACACAAAACACACACACACAAACACACACACACACACACACACACACACACCCCAGCTACTTGGTATATAATTTTTTTAGACAGCAGCTAAGAATATGTCTAGTCAGGTGTGAACTGATTCCAAAGTAGCCTGCTAGAAAGGTCCAGCTACTCCCACACTGTTGCCCCAAGCAGCACAGGGCAGTCTCACTGAGACATCTCTTGGGCCTGTGGGAAACGCTTTGGAATGTGTTCCTTAATAGCAAAAGCACCATTTTTAAAAAACAAACTGAAAGATGAGTGGAGGCACATCTGGTGAATAACTGGATCGTACCATCTTGGACTCTGGAGGAAGAGTGGCAGGAAGTCATGAGCTCGAGCTAAAAAGCTGTCAACAAGCTGAGGGCCATCCCTAGGCAAGCATTTCAAGTATGTGTGGAAGAGCAACAGTAATCGGTCAGAGGCCAGTCCTGAAGGACAGCCTGTCTTGTTCTTGTTTTTTGGGTCCCACCCACAGTGCTGGGAGACCATGTGGTGCTGAACCCATGGCTCCGGATTCCAAGCATGAACACCAGCCCTCTGAACTACCTCTCTGGTCCAAGGCAATCTCTTATTTAATCACCAGACTTCACACTTTTTCAAGTCATACTGCATAAATTAGGTAAGAATTAGAATGCTTTCTGGGATGAGAAATATTTTACATGTACTCGATAAACGAAGTGGCTCAAGAAAACATATTTGCGAACAAGGGGTTCCTACCAGTCTCTAACCTGAGAGGGTTATGTGAGAGGCACATAAAAAGACACAATCATTACACACTTCCCTTCTCACGAAACAGGAAAGGAGGTTAAAATTTCAGGTGCCATGTCCTAGCATGGACTACCTCTTCTGGTCCTTTTTATATTCTGTAGGACAACTAGGAAATAGGCAATTTGGCTGTGTGATGAACCCAAAAAGTATTTCCAGACTCAGATGCCTAAGAGTGCTGGTAAAATCTTATGAAGAACTGAAATGATTGGTCCTCCCAGCTGCAGACTGGGGATGAAGAATGGCACAATCTCCTGGGCTCGGGAGGCTCTGAAGGGCAATAACATTGCAAGTCAAAAGGCACTTCTAGCCCAGCTGGATAAGTACAGGGAAGACTCTCCCCCCCCCCCTTTTTTTTTTTTTTGCTTTTTGGATCACACCTGGTGATGCTCAGGGCTTACTCCTGGCTCTGCACTCAGGAATCACTCCTGGCTGTACTCAAGGGATGATATGGAATACTGGGAATCGAACCTGGGTGGGCTGGGCACGTGCAAGGCAAACGCCCTACCAGCTGTGCTATCGCTTCAGCTCCCAAGACTTTCCCCTTTGAAAACAGACAAGAGCCCACCATTGTTTACATTTAAGGCATTTGGCTTCAGGCAGGCTCTGTTGGCCAGGAGCATCTGGCTACCCTTTTGCCTAGCAAGCAAGTGCTCTACCACTTGAACGACTTCCCTGGCTAGCTTACTGCATTCTAATGATGTAGTTTAAAGCGCTCCCTCACCCCATTTCTGGGGTGTAAGATTTTCAGGGATGTATGGCACGTGACAACAGTGCTCACAAATACCTTATAAAAGTTGAGATGTTATAATCAGACTGAGTATGAGACCCTGACGTGGAGAAACCCCTGGGGCACAGAACTTTGGTTTCCAGAAGTCTCACTGCTCACAAATCTACATAAACCCATACTTTATATCAGAGTTAGGCCCATCTGCTAGAAAACTAAAATGGCTTGGAATTTTAGAATATAGGTTATTTTGTAAAATTCTACATTAGATCTTGGCTTAACCTTGCATCAATACAAATGTTCCTCTATGTGAAAATGGTGATATTTCTTAGTCTAAAGATCTAGGTTTTATATATCTTTTTGTTGTCTCTGGGACCACACCTGGTGATACTCAGGGGTTACTCTTGGCTCTGTGCTCAGAAAATACTTCTGGCGGTGCTTGGGAGATCATATGGAATGCCAGGGACCGAACCTGGGTGGACTACATGCAAGGCAAACACCCTACATGCTGTGTTCTCACTCTGGTCTCCATAGGATTTTACATACCATTTAGAGGCAGGAAAGGAGAAAGAATGGTGCTGGTAATGGGCAGATAAGACAGGCTCATTTCAATTTCCCCCTCCGGGGTACTGCCCCATATATCATATTGATCTAGGGGTTTCAAATAGGCAATTATTGCTAATGTTGAACTTCTCTTCCTATGTTTTAAACGAATCATATTTGAAGTCAATTTAGTTTGATCTGTTAATTCCCAGTTAACCAGAGAATGAATGACCTGTCTGGATAAAGGCTCGAATTCTGTAGTCCTAAATATCTGCTGCAAGAATTTCTTGCAGTTTATTCCCATTATCTTCCTAGATCTTCTTGCCTAGACAGTGCAAAGCCTTGTGCGGCATGAGAAACTTGCAAAAGCTTTGGAAGGGGAAGACATGCTTGCAAGTAGGCTTCAAGAATGAAGATCTCCTGGTTTACTGATATGGGAATTACTGGGAGATGTGAGGTCTCCTGCAGACACTCTCCCCGCCCACCTCCCTAGTCCTAGAGTAGTTGGATGTTCAGAGTCAGTGGGTGGAACTGGTGGGTTAAAAGACTAAAAGATAAAGGGGAGGACAAAGACAGAGGTGAAGGAATACGTAGGAAACCATGGATGGAAATGAAGAGCAGAGGTGAACAGAAACCTGAAATAACAAGTATGGTTCATAGAGCTGGATGAAAGTGCACTGGCCAGGTATCCCAACACAGAACCTCACAAAGACACACCCCAACACAGGACCTCAGCAAGAAAGCAACATGGTAGCACACGGCTCTGTAAACCTTATTCTCTCTGGAGTCCTTGCACCCAGAACACTAAGCTAGCTAAATGAAACTCTCAAAAAACACATAAGAGTGGTTGTAAGGGAGGTAGCCAGCAACAGTCCCTGCACCATCCTTTCCTGTGAATGTGGCTGCTTGGGGAGGTGGGTGGTGTTTCAACTCAAGATCAGCCCGGTCTGTTCCTGCACCCCCAAAGTAGGGCTGAACCCCCTGGGCAGTGAATCCAGTTTGGAGAGAATGCCTTCAACCTGGTCAGTGTCTGCTCTGGCGCTTTGCAATTTCCTCTTGGATGCGCAACTTGAGGGCTTCTTGCATGGGTGGCTCCAGAGGCGTGTGTGCTGACACCTCTTCACTCACCCTTCCTGGATCATCGTCCTATGTGGAGAAGAGTCAGGAAGCTTCTGGAAAGACAAGCTGCCCTGTCCCCAGCAACACTCCCAGACTGCCATTTGACTCAAAGGTTCTCAGCAGTACCTATTATATTTCCCATTTTTTAAAATTTGATTTTGGGCCATACTCAACTGTGTGCAAAGATCACTCCTGGCAGTGTTCAGGGAACCATATGAGGTGCCGAAGATTGAACCTTGGCCAGCTGAGTGTAAGGTGAGTGCCTTATCTGCTGTACTATGTTTTGTGACCATAGTAGTGATTATTTTTTCTTTTGGGTCTTTGGGCATAACTGGACAATTCCTGGATCTGTACTCATGGTGCTCAGGGAACCATATGTGGTGCTGGGGATTCAAACTGGGGTCATCGACAAGCATGGCAAGTGCCTTATTCCCTGTCCATCTCTCCAGCCCCAGAAGTGACCCTGAATTGGCGACCATATATTCTCCCTACTGTAAGACAGGTGCGAGCTGTAGCCCAAACTATGGCACATATGGCCCACTGTAGCCTATGCTCCCGTCTTGAGGAGACAGTTCCCATTGGCCTGGGCAACAGAGGGTCAGGGAGTGGCAGTGATTCTACCAGCCCAGGACCTCCCCAAACAGCTGCAGCTGTTTCCATGAGGCATACCTGATACACGATAACGGACGTGACCTCTCCGCTGTCTGCCTCATACTCTAGGCAGAAGAGCTGATGGCCAGAAGGCTCTGGTTCGGAGCTGCCACTGCTGCTGCTTTCCCCAGACTCCTCACAGTCTCGGCTGTTGGGGTGAGCAGAGCCATCTGGAAGGATGAACCAGAGTGAAAGGGAAGAGGAGATGGATTGCTGGACTTCCATCCACAAAGATAACATAGGAAAATACAATGTAAGGCAAGCCCAGATCTTTTTGAGGAGTGTTTGGGTGAAGGGTGCAGCCAATCAGGAACTTTATTCACCTCTGTATCCTCTTCTGGGGCAGGTAGTGTCCAACCAAGTATCTGGCTAGGGACCGGGATGGGATGGGAACAGGCAGGGGGGCAGACCGCTACCTGGGTTCAAATCCTGGTCAACTAGGTCTGAGGTCTTGAACGTGTCGATTAGTCTGTGCTTGTTCTTAACTTTGAAGTAGAACGGCTGGCACCCGAGATGTTTCCTGGCCTTATGGAGACTTAAATGAACTGCCTATGTTAAAATCTAAACGCCCTTTAAGGAAGGTTCAAAAACTGGCGGCCTGGTCAAACTCTATGCTTGCTCGGTTGCACAGAAGGTGGGTTGTCAATAACTGGGTTTGGGTTTCGGTCCACAATTATGTGCTGGGGGACTCCGGAGGGCCGGGTGTCTCTGCATGAGGGGGTGAAACACGGACTATAAGGCAGAGAGTACGGGGAGGTCGTTTACTGCAGGCCATGAGCTCTCACTGCTCTGCAGAAGAATCACTGACCCTCGAGAATTACAAAGCCTAGGAGGGGGTAATGGAGGTTACGAGAAGGGGTCGCGGCGAACTGAGCCTTAGGGATGGGGCTAGGAGAGGTTTTTCCCCAAATAGAGAGGTGGGAGAGCGTGGTGCAGAGGGCCCGGGCCGGCGCAGCTCGCGGGCTCGAGGAGGCCTGGGGGGCGGGCGGCCTCACCTCTGTGTCGCGGCAGGTACACCTGCAGGTCGGGCCTGCGGGGCCGCGTCGGCGCGGCCGTGTGCCGCCTCCTCGCCTTCTCCTTGGCCGCCTGCTTCACCTTCTTGTCGTAGTCATCCCTGCGGGGAGCCGGGCGGGAGTCAGGGATCGCCGGGCCGGGCCACGCCTGGCTGGGGTAGGCGGTGGCGGCGGCTGCGCGGGGCGGGGTGATACCGGGCGATCTGGTTCCGTCGGATATGATGAACGAAGCCGTGGCTCATGTCCAGTCGCCCACCAGGCTTACAGCAGAGCCTCGACCCGGAATTCGGTGACGATTCCATCTGGAGCCCAGTACGCAGAGCCGCCGCCGCCTTCTCAAACGGCCCCAACAGCAACACTCTTGGCACAACTAGCGCCGGTCTTCGCTCGACTTCCGGTCCCGCGTGACGTCACGTCCGGAGGGGCGGGCGCGGCCAAGCGACCGGACGCGCTGAGTGGCCCGCGCGGGTGGAGCTCAGCAGCGGGGGCGCCGGCTTCCACGCCCGGGGCGGGGCTTTTCTTTGTGACTCATCAATGGGAAGCTAATACCCGGGTCTTGCTGTAGACGCCCCAGAACCTCTGGAAAAATACGGAGCCTACATCACCCCGATCAGAGTTCGGAGTCACGCCTTTCCGTTGTCCTCTTTTGGTGAACCTGCCTCACCAGCTGCGTGACCTTGGCAGGCATTTGAATCTTGCCGTGCTGTGGTTTTCTCATTTGTAAACGGGGACACTTGAAAGCACCTGCCTCCAAATAGGTTGTGAGGAGGGGGTGGGCGGCGGACAACGCCGTAGTGGGGATTGGGCAGCCTGGGGACCCCACCTTCAGGCGACTAGGCGTCGGACAAATGATTTAACAATTCCCGCGGGAGAACCCAGGGCTTTGAATGGATCTGAGCATTATTTATTTGCAGCGGGGTGGGAGTGGGGAGCGCTGCACCGAGCGGTGCTCAGGGCTTACTCCTGGCTCTGCGCTCCGGGACCACTTCTGATGCGCTCGGGATCTTTTGGGATCTCGGGGACCAACTTCGGTCGGTGCCGTGTGAGGCAAGCGCCCGACTAGCTGTACTATCTCTCCTATCCATGCCTCTTTAGTTTTGGGGGCGACACCAAGCAGTGCTTAGGGGCTACTACCGGCTTAGCTAGGCAGGGGAGGGGGCGTGGTAGTTTCCAGAACCCAGGGCCTCTCGTATGTAAAAGCAGCCGCACAGCCTGTTGAGCTCTCTTCCCGAGCCAGGTTTCTGCCTTTTTATAACCTGAAATTGTGGGTAAAGTGACGGTAAACCTGCAAACCCTTCACGCATTTCCATCCCCTCCCGCTCAACAAAATGCGTTGCGCTCCTTTGCCGGCAGTCCCGCCCCTCAGTTTCCGGCGGTGTGTTGGGTCCCTAGCGGCGACCCGTAGAGCGGCCCTGATTGGCTGTGCGGCCGCGCGCGCGAGCGTGCCTGGCGCCTGCGCACGACTCCTCGGCCGCCGGTGGCGATGTCAGGCCGGTCCAAACGGGAGTCTCGTGGTTCGACCCGCGGGAAGCGCGAGACGGAGACGCGGAGCAGCTCGGGTCGGGTCAAGCGGGAACGCGACCGGGAGCGGGAGAGCGAGGTGCCGAGCTCCCGGAGCAGCCCGGTGCGCGTGAAGCGGGAGGTCGAAGCGGCCAGTGCGCGCGAGGCCCCGGCGCCCGTCGTCCCGGCGGTGCGGGTGAAGCGGGAGCGCGAGGCCGATGAGGATTCGGAGCCCGAGCGGGAGGTGCGAGGTGCGCGGGGCCAGCCTGGGACGGGCACGGGCCCCATTCGCGCCGGCGGCGGGAAGCCCGTAGCACCACGGATCTGGATCTCTAGTGCCTTTCAGTGGGAGCAGCCCCAGGCGGAGTTGTAACTGATTGCACTTCTGATGAGAGTGAGAGTGGCCTCCTTTGCCAGTCCCTGTGCCTGTTTACAGATGTTCCTTCCCGTGCATTTTACAGAGCACTCGGGGAGTGAAGTCTGGCTGTTATTTTCTTTGGGGCTGCAGCTGGCGATGCTCAGGGCTAACTACCAGGCTCTGTGCTCAGGGATGACTCCTGGCCATCCTGGGGCACCGTGCTACCGGAGATCGAACGCAGGTCAGCCGCTTGTGAGGCAAGTGTACTATCGCTCCAGCCCCCTGGCTATTATTTTTGATCAGGCCAGAGTCGAGGGCCGAGCGAACGCTGAGTACTTGCACCCTGCTGCCCCGTTGTTTTGGACGGTAGCGGCTAATCTGGTCCCGACTCAGAACTGGACACGGCGAATCCGGGCTGTAGGCTTCACGTCGCTGTCACTCAGTGAATCAGTGGAACCCGTGACTGACAACAGCCAGTGAGCCTCACTCCCTCTGGCGCTGCACCGTTAGCTGCTTTCCCGTGTAAACTTTCTGCTGTTTTTTATTTCTGGAGATCTCTACGTGTAATCCCTTGTTTCCTGTTTTTAATTTGTGCTAATTTCCAATTTGTTGATATATGTACCGTCATTAAGTGGGTTTTCATCATTTCTGAGTTCTTTTTTTTTTTTAACTGTCACTCCAATTACTCTGAACTTGTAACGCTTTCTGCTTTCTTTCTTTGCCGCTGTGGGCAGGGATCACTCCTGGGGCCGCTCCTCGGATCTGAACCCCGGTTGGCTTTATGCAAGGCACAGCATACCTGTTGTACTCCCTCTGTAGCCCCCATTTTGGAACTCTTGATGAGAGTTGGTTTCTGTTGGGTTAGCTGGAGCCTGCTGAAGGAGCAGGTGGACATGCAGAGTTCCTGGGAGGAAACAAAGTTGATTTTGTTTTGTCTTTTGGCTACACTCTGTGGTTCTCTGGGGACTTCCTGGTGCCAGGATCCAGCAGGGTGGGTGGCAGGCAAGCGAGTGCTCCATCCTATATACTGTCTCTTTGGTTCCATGGGAGTATGGTTTAAAGAAGAGTGCAGGTGTACATCCTAAAACTACCACTGGTTGCCTGGAGAGTAGGTACAACAGGTAGGGCGCTTGCTTGCATGCAGCCCACCTGGCTTTGATCCCCAGCACCCCATAAGTTCCCCTGAGCCCTCTCCTAGTGATCCCTGACCCCAAAACAAACAATCCTACTACTTGTTAAAATAAAAACAAAACAACTGTGGCTTCCTTAGAACTGAAGCTTCTGAGACTTGTTTTGTTTTGGGGCCACACCTCACAGTACTCAGGCTTTCTCCTGACTCTGTGCTCAGGGATCACTCCTGGCTAGCTTGGGAGAACCAAAATTGGTGTGAGGGACAGAACTTCTGTCCCTTGCATGGGTCAGCTGCATGCAAGGCAAACACTCTCTGTTGTTTTTCCAGCCTCATGTCAGGTTTTTTTTGTACTTTATTTGTAGGTTACTAAGTTAGACTGCCACAATTTGTGGCTGCTGATGGAAGACATGTGGCTAGGGTCTGAGACTGTGGGTTACAGCTGTAACAGTAGCCAGAATATAGTGTTGATGTCAGTTCCAGTAGCCGTAGGTGATGAGGACCTTTAAAAATAGTAGAAGACCTTCCAGGAGACAAACTATTGGTTTCGAGAACTGAATCTTTTATAATGGACCATGAGATTTCCTCTCCTTTGCTCTGCAGGAAATGTCAGCTGGTTCCCCAAGGTGTCCACATCCTGGGCAAGATAGTCTGGAGAAAGTGGAGCTCTGTTCACCTTATGTGTGTGTAAAAGACCAATGGAGAGTTGTCTCTTAACTATTCAGCTTAAGAAGGGGTACACACGACTACCTGAGAAGGGGGTGCTGGGGATCGAACCTGAGTCAGCCACATACAAGTCAGATGCCCACTGTATTATTGCTCCAATCCAAACTTTATTTCCATTTTTCTTGTGTGGTGGTGGTGCTATACCCATTGGTGCTCAGGGCTTATTCCTGGACGTGCACTCAGGGATCACTCCTGACAGGCTGAGGAGACCATATATTGTTTTGGGATCGAACCCCAGTCGGCCCTATGCAAGGCAAGCCCCATGCCCGCTGTACTCCCCCTCCTTCCCTCCCTCCCTCCCTCCCTCCCTTCCTTCCTTCCTTTCTTCCTTCCTTCCTTCCTTCCTTCCTTCCCCTCCCCCTCCTTCTCCCTCTCCCCCTCACCTCCCCCCTTTCTCAGGAGGATCTGGGTCTATACTCTGGGTTATGGTTTTTGTGAAGGGTTACACAGCTTGTTAGCACAGCGGGTAGGGCGTCCGCCTTACAAGCGGCCAACATGGCCGACCCGAGTTCGATTCCTCCGCCCCTCTCGGAGAGCCCGGCAAGCTACCGAGAGTATTCGATATGCCAGACACAGTAACAACAAGGTCTCCAATGGAGATGTTACTGGGCCCGCTCAAGCAAATCGATGATCAACGGGAGGGCCTTTACCTTTACCTTTACCTTTACCTTTACACAGCTTGTTATACTAGTGGGTTGGTTTTTTTTTTTTCTCCTGTTGCCAGGCTGCCTCTATAGCAACTTTCCTAGTTACTTCTTCCCACCATCTCTTCTTTTGTTTTTTTTTTTTTTTTTTGGGGTCATACCGTTTCTGTGCTCAAGGATCAAACCCAGGCCTCTGAGCCATCTATCTGACCTAGTTCCTCCTGGTTTCCTTTGTGCTGGTCACTGATTGGGAATACAGGCTTGTTGACATGTTCTGTGTTTTTTTTTTTTTCTCTTGGGCCAAAGTCAGTGGTGCCTGGTGCCTTGTTCCCAGCTGTGCTTGGGGCCACTCTTTGCAGTGTTTGGGGAACCATGCAGTTTCAGGGATCAAACCTGGACTCCCACTTGCAGACCCTGCTGCAAGTTCTTGTGCTGTCTCCCCAATCTCAGGTTTACGTTTCCAAAGCTTCTGATGATTTTCTTTTCAGCAAAGAATGGCCGGGTGGATTCCGAGGATCGAAGGAGTCGACACTGCCCGTACCTGGACACCATTAACAGGTCAGAAGGGCTGGGTGCTGGGGATTGAACCTGATGGCCACACTCAAGGCGAGTCCCTTGCCCACTGTGCGCTCTCTGACCCTGATAGACCCTTACTTTGAAATTGAGTAGATATATATTTTTAGGGACTTTAGAGTGCTGTTGGGGCCCTTTCACTTTAGTCCTGCTTGATCTTTTTCCCCCAGTGAAAGTCACCCTAATGGCAGGTTCTTTCCTGCAAAAAGGATTGTTGACATGCTTAGCTGGTAAAGCCTGCTTTGGGGTTTGGTGGGTAGAGGTGCTGGGTTCAATGTCAGGGGGAGAATTAGTTTGTCGCCATGTTCTCCACTCAGTGGGGGATGCTGTGTGGCATTGTGGAATTGGAGCCTGTGCTCTTCTGGTTGGGAACTTTCCTGGACATTTATTCCTATTAATTGCTTTTTGTTTTGTTCTGGTTTTTAGGAGTGTGCTGGACTTTG